GTGCTATTATTATCCTCATTTGACAGTTGAGGCAACTGAGGCAGATAGAGGTTAAGTGATTTGCCCAGGGTCACACAGCTAGCAAGTGTCTGAGGTGGGATTTGAACTTGGGTCTTTATGACTCCTGGTCCTAGTTGTCATGGGAAAGGGGGAGTCACTGACAATAGTCTAATGGGGACATGAGACTCCTTTAGTTGATTCTTATTAGCATCATACCTTTAGAGTTGGTAGGGACCTTAAATCTTTTCATCTAGAATGGGAGTTTTTAACCATTTTTTGTGTCATGGATCTCTTTGGTTGTCTAGAGAAGCTTACGGACCACTTCTCAGAATGTTTTTAAATTCATAAAACATATAAGTTTACCAAAAAAACCCCAACTATGTTGAAATAAAAATGAATTTTTTTCCCCTATCCAAGTTCAGACTCCCTGAAATCCATCAACTCCAGGTTAAGAAGCCTGGAACCCTCTCAGTTTTAAGGGTACAGAGGCCTGCTCACAAGCCTTGTGGTAAAAATCAGTAAAAGGAGACCTGAGTTTAAGTCCCAGCTCGTCCCTCACTGTGAAGCCTTGAGCGAGTCTCTCACTCACTTCTTTGGGGCTACTGTGGACTTCCTTTCTGGCTACCTCCAATAGTTTCAATGCCCTGCCGCTAGCTGGAGATGAGCCTTTCCAAATGAAGTGAGGCTGGTCTTCCAATGACAGACACACTCTATCAGGGATTGGGCTAGCAGTTTTTCCAGGTAGGACCTACCTGCCAGAGCTTTGCCCTTTTCTACTGACACAGCCTCAGGAAATAAGAGTCAAAGGAAGGCCCAGCCCTGGGCAGAATGAGAACTTTGACCCTAACATTTCTGTTGTTCTCCTGCCAGTCTTCTTCAGAGCCCCAGATGGATCTCTGAAGCATCAGACCCTCCTACTCTCTCATGGCTTTGTCCCTGAACTAACTTTGTCCCTTAAACTAAGGTATGACTGATAACAGCTTGGAGTAAATACTCCTCTCCAGGATTTTGTATTTTTGTTATGAAAGCCTTAAAATAAAAGGAGAGACAGAGAGAGATGGGGGGGGGGAATTGAGAGACAGGTCTAGGGGGAAGAGAGAGACAGAGAGAGAGAGAGAGAGAGAGAGAGAGAGAGACAGAGAGAGAGAGAGACAGAGAGAGACAGAGAGAGACAGAGAGACAGAGAGCAGAGAGAGGCAGAGACAGAGACAGAGAGAGCAGAGAGAGACAGAGAGAGATGGGGGAGAAATTGAGAGACAGGGCTAGGGGGAAGAGAGACAGAGAGACACAGAGAGAGAGACAGAGAGAGCAGAGAGAGAGAAAGAGAGAGACGTGGGAGAAATTGAGAGACAGGGCTAGGGGGGAAGAGAGACAGAGACAGAGAGAGCAGAGAGAGACAGACAGAGAGAGAGACAGAGACAGAGAAATTAGGTCCAATGGGTAAACATCTGAGAGAAGAAGAGCCTTCTTGGTCTCCCCTATCCTCCCAAATCTGACCACACTGATGGCTGCACAACCCATGCACGTGGAAAAGAATGCTGAAACTCTGCCTTTGTGTCCTGGGATGGGTGCTGGGGGAGAGTGGAGAATTTGGCTTACCCTACTCATATGAATGAGCAAGAGTTTTAACATCTTTGAGTGGTGACCTCATCCCAGTGTAGGGCTGGCCCATCTAGCAGTGTGATAATGAGGACTTTGGATGAGGGTGTGGTGCAGAGAGGGAGGTATAGAGTCAAGAATTCCACTCCTGTTTACCCTGCAGATAAAACACTTAACCTGGAATGATTCCCTTAGCAGAGAACTCCAGGGTTGGGAGTGAGACAAAAAAGAAACCTTGCCCTAGGACAGGTGATGGAACTCCAGTGGGGATGTGCAATGGAGGCTGGTTAAAGACATGGGGGACAAAGGAATTTCTAAGCCTTTTTTTCCTTGCCTTTGGAAACAATCCTGCCTGAGAGGCAGGGTAGCAAAGTGGAAAGAGCATGGAATTTGAAGTCACAAGACTGTGTGCCAATCTGGGTCTTGCTGCTTGCCTTTTTTTTTTTTTTTAAATCACAGTATTCATGATACCATCAGTGGAGGGAGATCCCAGTAAAGATGTTTTCCCACAAATGCAGCTTTGTACTATCTCCATCAACTTAATCTTAAGGGAACTAATTGCCTGGTGGGACTGAGGATTAAGGTGACTTGCCTAAAGTTCTATGTGAAGCCAATATGGGTCAGAAGTAGGATTTGAACTCAGGCCTTCCTGACTCTGAGACCAATTTCCTTTCTACAACCAGCTGATACTACCACTATAAAATAAGGGTGTTAAACTAGGTGGTCTCTAAAGTCTAATTCTAAATCAACATGTCCTGTGGGTAAGATGTCATCCTAGCTTCTGGGGGGGTGCATGATGATCTTTGGAGAGAAGATGACGTATACTAGGAAGGGGAGGCATAAATGTCATGAGTCACTGACCCTTAAACATAGTTGTGGCCACTGGCTGGGGTGAAGGAGAAAACAGTGGGGAGAGAGGAAGTGAGGTGAAAACTTTACTTTTGTGGCCCCTGAGCTAAGCTGAACTACAAAGAATCCTAGAATCAGTGAGTTTTGGGACACCAGTGACCAACCTGTACCCCAATACTACATTCTCTGTTGGAAAGCTATTAACTCCTCGGGCAGCCCATGCCATTTTTGGATAGCCTTTGTTGTGAGGAACTTGTTTTCCTGACTTCAAGCCCAAACTAACTGCTTTGAAACTTCTGCTCCGAGCTCTTGGTTCTTTATATGGATGAACAATACAAGTCTTGATTCCTCTTCCAGAAAACTGCTCTTCAAATACTCAAGACTGAAATTATCTTACCCCACCCTCACCCTTCTTCCTTTTCTTCAGGCTAAACATCCCCAATTGCTTCAATTGCTCTTCATGTGACACAGACTCAAGGCCTTTTGACATCTTGGTTGCCCTCTTCTGGAATCCAATGTCCTTCCTAAACACAGAGCTCCATATGGAGTCTGACTGAGGCAGAATAATAAGGGGGCCTATCACCTTGCTCTTCTGGAAGCTTAATGCAGTCTAAGGTCCCATCAGCTTTTTGGCTGTTCTACCAGTGTTAATTTAAGCTTTAAGACCACCCAACCTCCCAGGTCTTTTTCAGAGAAACTGCAAGAGGGCCGAAATAAATAGGGTGGTCTGTTCCAGGGTCTGTTGACCACTGCCATTCCCGGGATTCCCCACAAGTTCAGCGCAGGTAAAATGCTAGGGCTTCTCTCTATCCTACATTCACTCATTCAACAAGCAACTAATAAATTTGTTGTTCAGTCACATCTGACTCTTCAGTATGGTCCATGGATTTTCTTGGCAGGGACTGGAGTGGTTCATCATTTCCTTCTCCAGTACATTAAGGCAAACAGAGGTTAAGTGACTTGCCCACGGTCACACAGCTAGTAAGTGTCTAAGGCTAGATTTGAACTCCAGGCCTGGGACTCTATCCACTGAGCTATCTAGCTGCCTCAAGCATTTATTAAATGTCTGCTATGTGCTAGGCACTTTGTAAGTGCTGGGGATACAAAGAAAGGCAGAAGACATACCCTGCTCTCAAGACCCTAATGGTGGAGACGTGCAAACAACTGAGTATAAACAAGGTATGGACAGGATAAATTGGAGATAATCAAGAGAAGGCACTAAGGTTAAGGGGCACTGCAAAAGGGAGGGATTCAGCTGAGACTCCCAGAAAGCCAGGGAACGGAGGAGGCAGAACTGAGGTTGGTGAGCACCCCTTCAGCACTCCCAAGCCAGACCTTGTACTCCTCGGAGGGGACTGTTTGACTCTGCCCCCTATGCTTTGCTGTTGGGTTATGAAGGTGATGCTGTATACATTTTATTGATGAGAAACTGAGGTATGGAGTGGAGAATGACTTGCCCACAGTAACATGGCTTGTAGAAGGGGGACTTGAAACTGGGACCTCGGACTCAGTGCCCTTTATACCATACACATTTTTTTTGTTGTTCAGTTGTGTCTGACTCTTCATGACCCCATTTGGGGTTTTCTTGGCAGATACTGGAGTGGTTTGAAATTTTTTTCCCCCAGCTCATTTTACAGATGAGGAACTGGAGCAAATGAGTTAGGTGACTTACCCGGGGTCAAACAGATGATGAGTAAGTGTCAGACGCCAGACCTGAACTCAGGAAGATGAGTCTCTCTGACTTCAGGCTTGGCACTCTACCTATTGTGCCACCTACCTGCCCAACACTATATGCCATAAAGATCTGAAGTCAAAAGGAAGCCATGGGAGGCAGAGATGAGGCTCTTCATTTCAATAGATGAACACAGAACTAAGTCACTGGGGACTTCATGAGTGAGCAGGGGGCATGATGATAGCATAAAGCTGTGGGGCAGGGAAAAGGACGCTGCACTGAGCTCCTTCCCCTACTAATTGTGTGACCTCTTTGAGCCTCAGTTTTTTAATCTGCGACATGGGGTCACATACTACACAATTTCTGGGGATAGGTATGAGGGTAAAACAAGGTAATGAATATAAAACATTTTGTGAAATGCAAATTTCAATGCATTAGTAATTTTATCACTATAACAACATATAAATATGTATACATGTATGCATATATACATACATGTATATGACATACAAACATAACTATAAATGAAATAATTATTATTAATGAAAGAATTTATATTCAGACTACTGGAATGTCAGTCCCTGTGAAAAGTTACTGCTGGTAAAGCTGAATGCCCAAACCACAGTGAACACCAGAGGCCAATCTCCTCAGGACCCCCCCACTTCCTCTCCTGGGCAGCATGATTTTGTTTTTGTTTTTTATGCCCTTTACCCATCCACACTTTCCCTTTTGTCACATATCCCATTCTTCTAGGGTCCTATTCTCCCCTCAGTGGTAATCAGCCAATACGAACCAATATTTGCTTGTGGATTTGAATAGGTTAATGGACCACCCCTCTCTGGGGTCTCCTCTGCAGACAATGCCCAGTTAGAATTCCTACCTTCCTTCAGTGGCAGCTCACAGGTGCCACAAGATTTTGTGCTGATCACCTCCAGTTGTTAGGGCTTCCACGATCTTAAAATTCCCAAGTCCACGCAGGGGATTGCCATGCACACGCTGCTACACGTTCCTAAGGTCTGGGCTCTAACTGGCCAGTCCTCTATCACGCACAGACACACTCTGTATTTACTCAATTATGTATATGTTGCATCCTCCCCGTAGAATGTGAGCTCAAGGGCAGGTGCTGTTTTCCTAATTCTTTACATCTTCAAGGATCTAGCACAGGGTGTGGCCCACAGTAAGCACCTAAGTATTTGTTGAATTGTTCCCAAATGTAGGCAAAACAAATGTCCACACATCCAGGTTTTCAGGGACCAAGAGAGCCACTTTGTAGATAAATGTCTCATTCTCTGAGCCAGCCTGTTATCACCTATTACCAAACCAAACCATGCTCATTTCTGCTATCCCACACATGGAATCATGCTACCCAGAACCTGTGCCCTTCCCTCCCCAATTCAAACCCCAGCTCAAGTCATCGCCTTCTCTGTAGCTTTCCCCAGCCTACCCACCCCCTCCTTTCTTGGTCTCTCCCCATCTTCACTCAATTTCATATTATATCATGTCATGTTGTTTTATCATGTTTCATGTTTGAGAGTCAGGGCCCCAAAGAGATTGATTGCATGCCTCTGTTATAGGGGTGGGTGCTGTCCACACCCAGAAAAGACTTCACTGAAAGCAGCTGCTGGCTTCATCAAAACAGAACCTCTTCCCCTCTCCAAGGGGTTTATTTATTTTGTGAAAGCCTATTAGTGACTTGGCAAAGGCCACCTCCACTTGCCCAGTTAAAGACCTGTCAAATGAAAACGCACAAGATTTTGGTGCTTTTCTATTTAATACCATCATACAATTATCAGCATCTCTTTGGAAAACCCAAGGTAAATCAGTAGTACATTTTTTCCTTTTTTTTTTTAAACAATAGAATTCCAAGAACAAAAATAGATCTCTATCTCATATATATATATATATACACACATATATGTATACATGTACATATGCATGTCTGTATATAGGGAAGTGGACCAGGGAGCTTTTAACCAAGGTCGACCTGAAAGTCCCTGAGAGGTCTCTGTGCCTCTTACCTCTGGGCAGGAGCAGGGTATGAAAACTGTCCCAGTATCTCCTGGGCAGGAAATGGCAGAGCCTCTGATGGGGTTTATTGCTCAGTGATTACCCGTACCCCTAGAGAGGCCCATCCCATAACATTTCTGCTCCTGGTGCTTTGGGGGAGGGGGGAAGAGGAGGTGGGAAAGGGACAGCTGGGCTGGAAAAACTCAAGGCTCCCTATGGTTTCCATTACAAAGGAGAGGAGCTATACCTCCGATTAAAAAAAAAAATTCCCTCTCCCTCCCCTCCTGGTGCTTACAGGAAGTGAATTTAGTGAAATTCTCACTCAGGCGAAGTCTGGGTCTTGCTGGCTGCTGAGGTTGGTGGGGTGTGTGGGTGGGTGGCCTCTAATCAACAGTGGTGTTCAAGGTGAGGAGAGCCTTGGGCCAGAGGTAGCCTGTTGACAACCTATCTTGGGGAGTTAGCTAGCAGTACCTGACGCAAGGGCTTGGCTGGCATTGCAGCAGGTCTTGGGCTGTCCTCACCCCAGGGCTGGCTTAGCTGGCTGGGAAGACATCCAATAATTGTCTCCCCACTCACCTCCAAAAACTCTTCCCCTCCCAGTCTCCTAAATACCTGGCTTATGATAAACAAGGGAATCCTCTGTGTACATTAAGGCACTGCTCCTGGAGAGAAAGCTCATAAAGCTTAACTCTGGGGACACGGTTTAGGGAGCCCCCCTTCTTGTGGGGAGCAGCTTAGGTCTTTTCAGGCACCTGCAGTGATTCTATCAATACCAACACTGGCCACGGGCAGGGGATGCTGTTGGGTTAATTCAGGAATACATGGGAAAATGCCTGGCCCTACAGGACAGGGCTTAGGTTGCCTGAAAAAATCTTCAGCCAAAGAAATGACCCAGGATGGGGGACAGGGCCAGGTGTAGGTTGGTGCTTAGAGCCAGACCACAGGTGGGTGAGGGAGGGGAGGGGAAAGGTATCATCTCAAAAGGTCCAGTTCTCCCCTGCTCCTTGTGTAGGACACCCCTACTCCCTCTGCTTGGGGGTCCCCAACCTTGTGTTCCATATTTCCTGACCTGCCTAGGGATATAATCCTTAGCTTAGATAAAGGCCTGACCCTGCTATGGGATTTGTGCAGTGGGCTCAGCCTCTCTCTGTAGGTCTAACAACCCTGATTTTGGGGGCAAGGGACACAATTCAGGCTCCTAGGAAGAAGACATCCCATCTTAGCAGTAGGGGGTGGGATGAATGGTATTTCTGGTAGGGCCTTTGGGTTAAGTGCCTATATGATACCAAATATTAAGGATAACAAATATCTAAAATATGATTGTGCAGCTGAAGATTCCACCCAAGAACATCTCTTGGGAATAGGAGGAAGAATGAAACACTGTTCACCTCATCTACTGTAATCCAAATGGGACAGAAGAAGGAAATCTGGGTAGTTCCAAGTCCCAAAGGACTCCAATTTCTAATTCTCTTCCCATTTTCTAATCATTGAGGGGCACTCATTTTAGAGGCAACAAGGCAGGGATCTGGCCCTGGAAAAGATGCCCAGTTTTATTACAAAGTATTAGGGAAAAAAAATCATCTACCTTGGCCCTCACCCATGGCAGAAGGAGAGAGTGTAAACACCTCTTGGACCCCAAAACAAACATGGGGGGAAACAGTACAAAATTACTTAAACCCAGCATTTAGAAAATAGAATACTTCTGATGCTCACTGCCTCTGAGATAGTCCAACCTAAACAAACCTGTATGGACTGAAAGGTCTGAACACTCCTCCTAATATCTTCTTTTTCTGCTCCTGACTCCCATTGCAGCAGGTTGGGGCAAGTGAGGGGCCAACGATGAAGAATACTAGCATCTCCTAAGGTCTGATGGAGCCAGATGCCCACCTGGCTCTCAGAGGCAGGAAAAATAGAAAAAAATCATCTTCCCTTTCAACCAAAGAGGTCTTCTGGGATATATATCTTTGGTCTTCTCCCATTTTAAAAAGGGAAGAAAGCTAAGCTTTGGAACTAAAAAAAACCCCACTTTTCCTACTGAGTTGGAAATCAATGTACCGTCACTGTTTGGGATGGATTCCTGGGGGAGGGTGAGGAAGGGGGAAGATGGCATCAAGGACTTCTGTACACAGATACATGGACACACTCGGTACAGGCACACAGAATACATACACACTCCCAGCACACACCCACCAAATACACAGACATGCATTCCCAGCACACACTTTGAATACAGACATCCCTTGCCCTCACCCCCAACCATACAGACATGGTGGCTTTGGCCTTTCTCCCCTACAAATGTTAGGCTAAAACTAATCTTTTCCCTTGGAGTACAAAGGTGCAAGAAATTTGTTTTGGATGCAAATATTTCCAGCTTAGCTTTCAGTGAGCAGCACCCAGCAGACATGGGGAGACAGGGAAGAGTGATGCTCCTGAAGGCTATATTCTCCTTGCCCGTCTGCAGCCAGGGCGCGGGCTCTCATGGGTACAGCTACGTTAGCAGGGAGCCCTTGGTGCCTGGGTAGAATCAGAGCACGCGGGGGATGACGGTGAAGGGCACCACAGGACTGCTGGCCTCCAGGTCAAGGGCGGTGAGGAAACACTCCACGGCGGCTTCATTATTGCCCTGCGCCTGCAGGACTTCGCCCAGGGACTTCCACGCCTCATGACTGGCGCTCTGGATCTGGATGGCATCTCTCAGCACCTTCTGGGCCAGGTCCCGCCGACCCAGTCTGCTGAGCATGAGACCCTGTGAAGCAAACACACAGCACCACTGTGACGCAGGGCAGAGGCATTTAGGGACCCTAGGACTTTGGGAAGAGCTCCCTGGCCTCAAAATAGAGCCCTGCTCCTGACTCAGCGCACCACCTCCATTCTAGCCAACAAGAATGCAGGTTATTTCTGGAGCCCACTACTTTGCCTCCTGCCTCCTTGTCTTTGCATAAGCTGTCCTCCCTCACACCCGGCATGCATTTTTCCTGCAGCTTCACCTTTCCGACTCCTTATCTTCTTTCAAGTCTCAGCTCAGGCGCCGATTCTGGGCATCTTAGGCAGTGACCAGTCAGAGCACTGGAAGACCCAAGACCTACCTCTGACACTTACTAGCCGTGTGAAGCCTGCCAAGTCACTGATGTTCCGTCAGCTTTGGTTTCCTCATCTTCTCCATTCTCCGTGGAGGTAAGAGCACCTCCCTTACAAGGATGTTGTGAGAATCAAATGAGGTAACGCAAGTGTTGGCCACGACCTCACCAGTCATTCGTGTTCTTTCCCTCGTCAAGCTTCGGAGATGTATTAGTGCATATGTCACAGCCCTCTTTGCACACACAGTGCCCCCTTCCCCCAGCAGAATGTAAGCTTTCTGAGGGCAGGGATGTTTTGTTTTTGCTAAATTGAATGGTCTTTTTCCAGTCCTCATCTTTCTTGACCTATATGCTACATTGAACACTGTTCATGATCCCCTCTCTCCTCTCTGGGCTTCTGCAACAGTGCTCTGTCTTCTGGTCCCCTCCTATCTGACTAACCACTCCTTCTCAGGTGCCTTTGCTCTGTGCGTGTGCATGCGTACTCTCTTCCGGACTCTGCCCTAGGCTTCCTGCTCTTCTCTCTGGCTGGCCTCATCAGCGTCATGAATTTTATCAATTCTATGCCAAGGACTCTCAGAGCTGCAATCCTCCATCACCAGTCAGTCATCACCACGCCCTCAGGGAGCTCACATTCTAAGGGAACCACCACTTGCTAGTTAGACTTTCAACAGCTGGTGTCCTCCAGACATCACAGATTCAGTGTCCCAAACAACAATCCATATTCTTTTCCTTAAACCCACCCCCACCTTTCACTCTTTCCTGTTTCCGTCAAAGGCGCCACCACTTCTGCCTGTCCCCGAGGCCCATAATGTTGGTGTTATCTTGTCATATCTACCCTGGCCTCTGACCAATTTGGTCCATTTAATTCTCACAGCCACCATTTTAGCTCAGGCCCTCATCGCCTCTCACCAAGAGGCTACCGATTGCTTCCCTTTGCCAACTCTCTTTCCCTACTTCAATTCATCCTCCATAGGGCTGCCAAAAATATTTTCCTTAGGATGCTCCTGCCTCCAGACCTGCACCCTTGCTGTCTTCTCCCTGCTTGGAATTCATTTCTGCTTCATGGAAGCTCCCTCTCCCTTCAAGATGCAGCAGCTCAGGTACCACTTTCTACGTGAATTGCTAGTGCCGCGCCCCCCCCCCCCCACTATTTAGTGACTGACAACTTTGTATTTATCAGCATTTGTTCTCTTTGTGTTATTTCTGTACATAATTACAGGTGTACTCCTCCTCTCTCTCTTTAGTGAGCTCCTTCAGCAGGAGCTCTTTCATTCTTTGTCCTGGCATCCGCAGCCCCCCGCACCTCACCTGCCACACAGTAGGCACTTCATGCTCCTTGAGTGACTATCTTCCTCTGATCACCAGTGCCTAGCACAGTGTCTTGCATGTAGTGGGTTGATAAGTAATTGTTGAATTGACTCCTGCAGTGCATGAGATTCTGGCATTGAGAGCCTAACCAGGGGCCAGTGGACTTGTGTTTTAAAAAAAACTTCTGATAACCAAATTTCAGTAACATTGGTTTCCTTTGTAATCCTACATATTTTACGTACTTATAAACACGGCTCTGAGAGGCTTCACCAGACTCTTGCCAAAGTGGTCCATGACACACAGAAAGGCTAAGAAGCCCTGACTTCATCGGTAGGGTCAGTCGAGGTTTGTGTCCCTGGGGCAGGAAGACCTGCGAATCCCATGAACTGGAAAGGGCCTTAGCGATTGTCCTAAATTTTGCTTGCTCTCTGTGCCTGTGCTGACTTCCTGGACGTTTCTGTCCAGGGAATCTCAGAGTACAAAAAGGACCTGAACAGGAATTCCTTCTTAGATCACTTACATACGTGAGAAGCGGTCATGTTTTCTGCCTGAGCACCTCTAATGAGGGGGGACCCACCATCTCCTGGGCCAGCTCATTCCACTCTTGCATAGCTCTAATTTTATAGGAATGTTCCTTATGTCAAGCCCAAGTTGGTCACGCCATCTGCTGTTCCTTGTTCTGTCCACTCTGGGGCCAAGAAGACAAGTCCACGTGATAATCATTTGAATATCGGAAGAGCTATCATCATCATCACCACCATCACCATCACAAACATTTTAGTTTTGTCCACGTAAAAATGCATATCCTCATAATGACCTTATAAGATAGGAACTACAAACATTATTATCTCCATTTTGCACAAGGAAACCAAGGCTCAAAGAGATCACCAAGGTCAAGGTCACAGAGTTAGTAAGTATCCGAGGTGGGATTTAGCTCTCAGTTTTCCGGATCCCAGGCCAGCACTTTCTCCATCATCCCGCATTGACACTGGCTCCCATGCCTTGCCCCTGAAATCCTCCCCTCTCAAGATGAAAGGGCTTCTGTTCCTTCAACAGTCCTCATGTGGCATCCTGTCAAAGTCCTTCATCCCCTCCCCACTCTTCCTTTCTATCAATAACCTCCCTAAGCAGAAGACTGCAGATGGGGTCAAACCAGGGTAGAGCATACGAATACCGCTGCCTGACTAGCCCTGCACATACATAATGTATCTCAATGCTGCCTATGACGGAATTAGTTCCTTTTTGGCTAGTCACACTGTTAACCCATATTGGACTTGCAGTCCACTAAACTCCTAGCCCCTTTATAGAAGGTCTGGCTGCCTAGTCAAGGTCCTCTTCCCATCCCCACTGTCCATCTCTCAGCTGGGAGGCTGACTTTTTGAACCCAAATTTAAGACTTCACATTTGTCCCCACTAAATTTCCTCTTTTCAGATGGAGCCTGTCATGGCACTGTCATGGAATGTATTAGCAATCCCTCCTAGCTTTGTATCATCTGCAAATGTTATAAAGCATGCCATCCATGCATGCATGTAAGTCACTGGAAGGAAGCTGCCTTCAATTCACCCAGAGAGAAAACTCCTCTGGTGGCCACCTACTAATGGGCAATGTACATTTTTAGCTGGAACATTTCACCCCCTTCTTCCTTCCCTCTCCCCCACTCTCCCCACTTCCCAAAGCTGGAGTTTGGCTCCTCTGTTGCTATGGAGACCTGTCAGGGAGATACACAAGCATAATTTCATAAAGCCTTCTGAGATCTTATGAACACAGCCAATTAGCAGAGAGTGAAGGATGGTGCTCTTGGCAGTCCTTGGAAAGGCTCCTGAAGGTACATTTCAAAATCTGTCTAAAAATCTTCCTGTCGGTCCTGGATAAGTAGTCCCATTTTGACTGAACAAACTGGAAAGAGGCCTATGGGTTATGACACCACAGAAAGCCATGCCCAGAGTCTGGCTCAGAATGTCCACGGCCAGCAATCCCCTCAAGGTTTCATGCACACTGTGGCAGGAAGGCTGAGCTAAGAAATGCTTACTAACATCCTTTCTCAAGGTCCCATCTTTAAGATTCTGTGACCCACTGAAGTCTTAGGTGACCTGGTGATCAAGTGAGTTTCCCTGGATCAAGAATTCAGCAAGTCTTTCCTGAGCAAGGACTCACTCAACCTTCCCTAGGGGGCTGGGGTGGATTAGGTCATCCTTACTGCCCCCTCTCCCCAAGACAGTGACCTCACAGCTGTAAGGAGATACTGCTGCTGGGGTCAGGCTGAGGGCCCCTGAGGGAACAGAGGGCCTGTAACTAGATCTGGGGCCACCTGCTCCTGACACCAGCTGAGGTTAGTGTTTTTGGAGCAACCTCAGAAACATCGCCACCTGACAGATGGGCTGGGCTACTGGGAAGACCTCAGCTTCCTCGCATTCCCCTGCCCTGAATGGGGCAACACCTTCTCCACAGTCCTTTCCTCACCTGCTCTTTCCTACCCCAAGCTTGGCTGGAATTCAGGATGGGCTTGGGTTGGGTCAGAGGGACAGTCTTTAGCTGAAGAGAAGAATGTTTAATGGAAATCCATCAATCCAATTCGACCCAGCAGAGATTTGAATTGTGCTGGCACTCCTCTGACAAATTCTACTTGGGGCACAGCCCCCTTCCTCCTGTCTTGTTACTCTCCCACTCCATGCAGGCGAGGGTGGAAGACTGGACACACAGATACACAGTCTACGTGGTGATTTGGTGGAAGGAACATTGTACTCCAGGCAGTGATTTGGGTTCTCTCTTTGATTCTGCTGCTAAGGAGTTAGCTCTAACACCTTGTGGCAAGCGCCCATCTTGCTTTCCCAGTATGTGAAAGTGGTGGTCATGGTGTATGTGGCGGGGTGGGAGGTGGAAGGGGACTATCAATGGATGTGGGAACAGGAGAGAGCAGAATGGGGAGGGGAGATGGGGCGGACGAGGTGGGGGGGGTACACAAAGAAGCACTGTCTTTGTCTTCATGTCTCCCCATCCTCCTCATGGATGTCTGTATGTACTTACATCCTTCAAGGCTCAGCCCTGGTCCTCCCCACTCTGCAAAGCCCCCCTAGATTGCTCCAAAGGCGTTCCTTGAGCCTTCCCTCACCTGGTAAGCACTGAAGAAATGCTTTTTTTATTCATTCATTCCTCTCCAGTAGAACTCAGAGCAGCAACCAAACTTTTTGTTCTTAATTAACACAGGTTTTTGTCATTTAGAATGTTGTCCCTCACATTTTATCTTCCTAAGTCTGTCCTCCTGGATCCCTCTGAGGACCCAGATCAGGTTGGGCAGGGGAAAGGGGCTCCATAAAGGCGGCCTGAAATGGACGCTGTCCCCTTCTCTCCACACTCCCA